AACACAAAACAAAACAACACAAACCAACACAACGCCAAGCAAACCAAAACAAAACAAACGAAACAAACAAAACACACAAAACAAGCAAACAAACAAACAAAACAAACACAACACACAAAACAAACAAAACAAGCAAACAAGCAAAACAAACAAGCAACCAAACAAAATAAAAAACAAAATAAACAAACAAAGCACAAACAAAACAAAACAAACAAACAAAACAAAAAACAAAACAAACAAACAAAACGAACAAACAAACAAAACAGACAAAACAAACAAACCAAACAAGCAAGCAAACAAACAAACAAACAAACAAACAACCAAAAACAAACACACAAACACACAAAACCACAAGCGCACACACACACACCCACAAACACACAAACGAACACACACACACACAAACACACAAACGAACACACACACACACACAACCAAAAAAAGTGCACAAACAAACAAACAAGCACACAAACAGACAGACAGACAGACAGGCAGGCAGGCAGGCAGGCAGGCAGAGAGACAGAGACAGACCAGACAGACAGACAGAGAGACAGACAGACAGACAGACAGACAGACAGACAGACAGACAGACAGACAGACAGACAGACAGACAGAGAGACAGAGAGAGAGAGAGAGAGAGACAGAATATCAGATCTGTCCTGTTGCAATAAAATCAAAAATATCTGAAACCGAAGCTCAAACATGTTCTTCAAACAAAAACCCCCGAAAGCCCCATAACAGGTGGGGGGCNNGCCCCTTATACCCTGGGAAAGAAAGACAGACAGGCAGACAGGCAGACAGGCAGACAGGCAGACAGGCAGACAGGCAGACAGGCAGACAGACAGACAGACAGAGACAGACAGAGACAGACAACAAACAAACCAACAAACAAACCAACAAACAAACCAACAAACAAACCAACAAACAAACAAACAACCACAAACAAAGACAAACAAACACAATCAACCACAAACAAGCACAGACACCCACAATCGGCCACAAACAAGCACCAACAAACACAAACACACACAAACGTCCACAACCAAATACAAATAAACACAACCAAACACAAACAAAAACAAACGAAAACAAGCAAATTAAACAACACCAAACAAAAATAACAAATAAACAGCCAAAAAACAAGCACCAACAAACAAAAATAACAAACAGAAAACATCAAAACCAATCAAAAACAACAAACAAAACAACAAACAAACACACACAAACACGAGCACATCAACCAAAACACAAACAAAAATATCAACGCCAGACAAAACCAAGCGAAAATAACAAACAAAGAAACCAACAAACAAACAAACAAACAAACAAACAAACTAACTAACTAACTAACAAAGAACTAAAGAAAGAAAAAAGAAAGAAGTAGGGAAAGCCAGGAAGACATAAACAAACAAGCAAACAAGCAAGCAAGCAAGCAAACAAACAAAAAACATACACGCACACACACGCGCACGCACGCGCACACACACACACACACACGTAGACATCCATCTCGCAGCCACTCGTCTCTGTGTTGTCCAGCCTTGCTGGACGTTTTCATCGGACTTCCAGGGGTTCCGGTTGTCAGTTGTGTTTACTGTACAAACGCAGCAGCTCAAACATGACATCATCGACCCCAGGTTTCTGGCTTGGCCTGGTTGCCATCCTCTTGACAAACAACTATATCGATATGGCCACAAGCTGCACTATCAAGTG